TACGCAGTCAGCCTTCCATCATCTGACTTACTGGCAATCTGCGCACGCAATGGTTGCCTTGACGTGATCTAGGGCCACCCTGCTGGGAATTTACCGATGCGCTCCCTTGTGGCACTCTTAGCTCGTGGTTGCAGGCTGCACCCGGGGCAGGCAAGCGTCTGGCTCAGGATATCGCTCACAAGACCTGGCTGCCAACCGCGTTCAAGAAGGCATGGAGCTTCTGACAATGTGTTTTATTGGGGACCTTTGGCGTTCATGTGCATCCGGCAGTTGGATTGATGTCTGATTTGGGAAGACACACAAAGCATATTGCAAAGTTGTGTGTGTGTGTCATTTTGTTGGAATCGAACCCTTTTGGTTGGGTCGCTTTGAATTCTAACGGTTCTCTGTCCCCTTGCGAGAAGCCGGATGCATTCGAGCGCTGTCCAGGGCGACTTCGGCATTCACTTGCACGTCGCCTCTGCATGATTTGGCAGGTCAAAGAGTTCAAATGAGTACCCTGGGTCCTCCGCCTCCGGGCTATTTCTCTCTTGTCTTTTTTTTCCTGATTTTACGCTAAACTTCCATTATTTGGAAGATCCAGGACTTTACTGAACTTTAGTGCCTTCATCTCAGGCCGCTGACACACGCCGCTCGTGATTTTGTATTTTCCCGTGTGTTGTTTTCTTCGGGTACACGCGGCTTATTGTTGCGTATTGTGGGGCAATGTCGGCGGATTTGTGAGATTGCGCGGGCCTCATTTTGGTTGGATTGCCGTTTGGTTTCCTGCTAAAACGACCGGAAAATGGTACCCTGGTACTCTGGTACCCTCAAAAACCGCACGCCCGAGTTTGCTTGCACTGTTTGGGCAGACGAACAACCGAATACGCCTCATGACGGAAGAACAAGCTGAGCTGCTATGTCCAACGGTTTTGACGCAGTCAGTGGAGTCTTACCCTTTTTGGGGCACATGTCCTTTTCACCACCATCTGGAGTGGCAACAGCCAGCACGCGATCAAGGCAAAGTCAAGCAACCCAAAGAAAGCAAACTCGCGAAGCAACGAAAGCAAAAGACGGTCAGAAAAGCAAGGACCTCCGGCCAACACTTACACGGATTCCTGAGGGGTCGCTGGCTTGTTTGCTAGTTTGTATCTTTGCTGGTCGATTGTTTGCTTCTGTGAGCGACATTTTGTGGTGAATTCCCTTTTTGCCACCATTTCGGTGTTTTTTTTTTTGGGGGGGGGAACCCCTTGTGGTGGTCTTGAGGGAAAAGCAAAAGGAAAGCCACCATTCTGATCCATGTTGTGGGTCTCCTGAAAAAAGACACCCATTTGTAGGCTAAAGTTGAGTCTCACTTTTAACCGATCCAGCGCGGCAGACATCCTGAGTTCGGGATTCTGAGAAAGCATCCACACCCAAACCACTCCAAAGGCAACATGGGCTTTAAATGTTTCCATGCAAAGGAGCCAGTTGTGAATTGATTACCACCCCTTCAATTTCTCCTTGGCAGTGGATGTATATGGGTGTGGCTCTTTTCAGGGAAATCCACAGAATGGCTTCGGTGTCCCTTAAAAAGAAAGTGGTAGTGCGGGATGGTGGAAATTCCATTCTGCTCGGCTCATGGCAGATCGAGTATGACCCCGTGAAGGAGTCGGTCCTCAGCGCACAAACGCGCCCATCGTTGCTGGTTGTTGGCATACGGACCCAAGTTGCACCAGTTGTGGCTGAGAACGAGGAATATGTATGGGTGGTTTCTCCCACACGGGACCCCTTTTTGGCTGTTTTTTTTTCCTCTTTTTTTTTTCGGGGAAACCCAAAAAACAACAACGCAAAGCAACCTGGAGGGGTCCCTAAGTTTGAGAAGCACCCTCGAATCTTTGGATTTCGGTTCCGGTCGAAATCCAAGAACAAACAGGCCATGCCTTCGGTTGGGGGATTTCTCTGCGGCTTACTCTGCGGCACTTGCCACGATCTTTCGAGCAACGTCGGCGCCCCGGCCTCGTTTGCCTCGACGTGTTCGAAGGCAACGTAGGCATCCTGCTGCCTGGCTTCAGCGCGAATCCAGTAGCTCAGGGACTTTACTCCACGTGCCGCAGCGCATCTACTGAATTGTGTCCTTCTTTGCTCTTCGGTTCGCTCCTTGTCTCATGTTCACCTTCCGAGCCGGTGAGCATATTCGCGCTGGTGTAGGCATAGGCACTTCACGACGTCGACTCCCCTTTCCGCATACCCTGCGCAGTCACCCACCAGCTGACGCATCCGCTCAGGCTTGCATTGTATACGCCCCATGTGTGGCCCAAACAAACATTCAGTGGCAGCCTGCAGTCCCTTGCCATTTGCATGCAAACAAGCATAGAATCCGGACGCTCCTTTTCGATGAACCTCTAATTCTGGCATTTTGGGAAGCAACTCAGCAGGGTTTTGGCGGGTTTACCCCAAAGCGGGCAAATCAGCAAAGTGGTCAGCCAGATCGATTTCAGGCTTGATAATGCACCAACCGGGTTTGTCTCAAAACCGCACAAATGGGGATGGCTTCCCTTTGCCCTTCAAAGCAATCAAGCAAAGGATCTCAACAAAGATACACCCTCGCCAAGGACATGTTGGCAAGAAGTTATCAATCTATATGTCCTCTAAGTCTTTGGACTTTGGGCAGCATTCCACATTGCCCAACCCCAGCTCGAATCGACATATGCGTTTGTTGAAGGTACTTGTGTGTGGGTGTCTTTTTTGGGGGAAACCAAGAACCGAGTCCGAGTCGACACGTGGTTTTTGAAGGTACCAGTTTGGGGCGTGTGTCTTTTTTTCGGGGTGGAGACCATGTGTTTGTTTGGGAAAACCGATTTGGGGCGTCCAAAAAGTTCCCGTTTTCGCCGCCCCAGGTACCAGGTGCCCAATCTCGGGGACGAGCCGCCGCCGCCCAGTCCGGAGGCGATCCAGCGGAAACCGAGCGAGTGAGCGGGGAATTTCTGTGAGGGGTGGTCTTGGAGGGCCTGGGGGGGTTCCAATCTTGTCCCACCATGGCGGTAGGACAAAGAAAAGTAGGGCTTCCAATTTCATAAGTGGGACAAACAAAAGGAGTTGGTCACTTGGCTGACACAAGGATTGCAGGAATCATAGGGCATTTCGTGGTCTTTGAAGATAACTTTGCCTAATTTGTGGTGGAGCTGGAGACCCAATCTCCGGATCTTCACGGGCAACGAACGCAGCCCACATATAGCTTGAGCCCCGTTGCTCGATCAGCCGTGGCTCCGTGAGGTGTTGGCAAAGATCGAAGAGAAGGCATCTGAGGCCTTGGGGGCACGCGGGGCTCTGGGAGCTTCTAGCCTCAGCCTGGGTGTTTTTTTTTCTCTACGCGACGCGAGCCGGAGGTTTTTTTTTTCAAGGGCACAGGTCCAAGTAGTTGCGGCTTCCGGATCCTTGCTTCTCTTCACACCACCCAAGGGGGGTCGCCAATTTTGGGCGAGCCCCAGATAAGGGTTTTGCCGCCCTTTGAAGACTTAGCTCAGCACAGCCTTGGCCTAGGCTCTAATACCAGAGCTTGTTGGAGGGCATGACAGACTGGAAAGCCAGATCTCTAGAAGCATACTCCACACAGAGCAGAGGGGACTTCTCACCCACCGGCGCGACAGGTCATGCAGGAGAACGGATTGTGTCGGCAGAAGATTGCCGAGGTGGGTGCCGGTGATACCAAGAGGAAACGAGACTCCGGTGCGGGGTTGCGCCAAGATCTACCGGGAGAACCCCTGAAAGCGGCTTCCTTGGGGTGTCCCTTTGAACCCACCCCAAACAAAAAACTCCTCAGAAAGAGAGACGCAGATGCCTGGCTTTGTGGTGATTCCCTGTTGTAAACACCCCCAAGAAGCTTGCCCACTGACTCACTCACTCACTGACTCGCTCGCGCACTCACTGACTCACTCACTCACTCTCTCTCTCTCTCACACTCTCTCTCTCTCTCTCACACTCTCACTCACTCACCCGCGCGTGTTCGCGCGGTCTCCTAATTTTGATTTGTTTTAAGTATGACGTGGAACCCTGGACTTAACATCGCTGTGTCCATGAAACATATCATTCTGCTCAATACTACGCCCTCAAACTTCTGGACTTGTTTGGAGGGCAGCCACTAGCGCACAGATCAACCGCGCCCTTCGCGATGCTCCAAAGCTTCCGCAGGAGAGGGAAGCAACGTGAGAGACAGAGTTGTCCCCTGGCACAGCAGACGCCAATATGTCGCTTTTTGTGGTGGTTTTTGAACCTCCCCTCGGCCAATTTCAGGTGAGTGTCCCTTGGTAGGGGTGTGGTTTTACACGCAAAAAAAGGGGGAATCTTGTAAAGTCGACCACGACAAAGTAACCCAAATGGGATTTGACTCGTTTAGTTGAGGCTCGGTACTTTTTTCAGGTTGGTTTGAGGGAAGCCAAAAGGAAAACCAACATCTTTTGGAGGTCCCGCTATTTGACACATACTTTTAGAGGAATGCTTCTCATGAGTCCGGTCCTCACTTGTAAACGTTTATCCCGCACGTAGACAATTCGCAGTTCCCTTAGCAAACATTTACCCAGATTTAAGTGGATCCTGGCAGATTCATGGGTGGGTAAACTCTGTGAATCAACCAGTCCAGGAGTTTTCAGAGTCGACCCAACCCCAAGGATGGAGCATGAGTTTACCAAAATGCGCCTCGCCCGGGCATCGAGTTTCCCATGGTTGTGCCCAGGGCTTGCGGAGCAAGTTTGTGAGAATCAGAGTCGGGCTGCAATGCCACAATTGCTAGGACCTTTTCGGTCCTGCAGAATCAGGCCTTGCCGCCTGGGTTGTTTTTTCGTCAAACCGAAAGGTTGGACCTTGACCATGAAGGTGTTGTTCATAGGGATCCTTGATTCCATGTTTATTTCACTGTCAATTGAATCCCACGCAAGACATGTTCAGACAATGTTCGTAATTAGCAAGCACAAAGTCCCATCTTTTCTTAACGCGAGAACGAGCCACGCTGACTGTACTCGGCATGGAGAGACCAAGTGCTAAGGACTTGTGTATCACACGAGCATGGCGCGCAGGCGACATATGAGGCGGCTTCAAAATTACCGGCATTTACTTTATGTAGGAGTGTTTCATGCACATGCAGTTTGTTGCTTCCTCGAAAACCGATACGGGACGTCCAACAAAACGATACCCCAAAAGCTGAGAGAGAAACAGGGAAAACGATACGGGATGTCCTAACGTCGGAATGAATACAACCCACACAAGTAATTTTGACGCTGACTCATATGAGCCAAATCGACGAGAAATATGCGGGGGTTTAAGACCAGTCTGGTGAACCATCGATGGATTCCAGCGGTTCATTCGCAAGTGCCCGAGGGTTTTGTCCAAAAGAGCACCTCTCCATTGGGTATGCGCCAAGTGACACCTCGGGCCCATGTGATACAGAAACCCAGTCCGACTGATTCCAGCTTGAACTTCAGGCGAACCATGTGCGCATCCTGGAACCCATTCAGAAGGGAACGCCATGGGGGCTGCGTTTTTGCAGGTACTAACAATAAAGAGCCTCGTGCTAAATTCTAGAAAAACTCGAGAACAACAACAAGTACAAAAACAAAAAAAAGAAACAAACAAGATTGCAGACCCCAAGGGGGATGGACCCAAGGGGTTAGGGTCTGCAATCTTGTTGTTTTTGGGTTTTTCTCGAGGTTGTTTGAGGTTTCAGCCTAAAGTGCAAAAAACCTCGAGAAAACCAACAAACACCAAAAACGACAAAAACAACGCCCCCAGGTGCCAAAAGCCTCGAGAAAAGAAAACAAAAAGAAAAGAGACCCCAGGGGGGGTGGACCCAAGGTGTTAGGGTCTGCAATATTTGTTTCCCCTTCTGTTTTCTCGAGGTCTTTGAGGTTTCAGCCTAAAGTGCCAAAAACCTCGAGAACACGAAAACAAAGCCCATCAAGTTCATCTGCTCGTTCAAGGCCTCATATTTTTTTGTTGTTGGGGAGGCTAGAAACAAAGAACCAAGCCCGTCATCTTCATCTGCTCGTCCGAGACCTGCATTGTTTGTTTTGTTTTCTTTGGTGTCATGTTTTTTGGTTTTGGTGCGTTATGCTTGTGTTTTTTCTTTTTTGTTTTTAGGGTTGGGGAGGCTAAAAACCAAAAAAGAAAGCAAACCAAGCCCATCATCTTCATTTGCTCGTTCGAGACCTGGGGTTGGTTAGAACTAGCATTTTAAATAGAATCATTCTAATTCAATTGTGTTTAAACAAAGAAGTTGTGATTGGATTCATTCCTGATCAGTGATTGGGTTCACTCCTTATCAAAATATGTTTAAATTATAATTCAATTGCAAAGTTCTATTGGAAAAGGATCTCCGTCACGCCGTCCAGAGACTAAATGTGAGACGCAATTCCAAGTAGGATTCTGAGCAAGTATTTTCTTGTTGAGTCCCACATAAACCCTTGTCAAATTCTAATTGAATCTTAAAGAGCAGCTGGTAGTGGAGATGTGAATTGAGTATGAACAACGCTACAAAACAGCGTGTTTGCAGTGTTTTCTGACCATGCTAGCAAACAAAAAACACGAGTTCGGGACCTCTATCAAAGTCTACTCATTTTTTGACTGAAACTAAATAGACATTTCTAAGGACAGCTGCAATCTTAATTTCTATGTTAAAGTTGAATTTGAATAAGGAATACTATACTTCAAAATGAATGCTACACAGGAACATGTATTCAACAGTTTCGGGCCTGCGAATTTCATTCTTTATGAATGCTACTTAATAGATTTACCAACTGCCTAATTTCTAACTCACGTTAAATGGGAGTTAATGAGGACAGAATCCAACCATTTTTAAACTTGAATTAGAATCTATTTAACGAATCTTCATGTCAAAAATATGCTACACAGGGTTTCCTTTCCAATAGAATCGGCTTTGCGAATCCATAGCTATTTAAACAACGTGTCTTTAACAATTTGGGGACCTCTACAAGTTATTTCTTATGGCTTTCTGCTTTCATGTAACCACGATACCTGTATAATCTGAAAAAACAAAACATACTTGAAACTATATACACGAGGCAAATTACCTGCAAAAACACAGCCCCCCATGGCGTTCCAGCCTCAACCCATTTGGGTGTGGCTCAAAAAATCAAAGAGGGGGCCGCTGGTTTTAGTCAATCCTCCCATTTACCAGGGTGCCATTTTGGGGCATTTTGAGCCACACCCATGTCCTGGACCCAGTTCGCATGAAGGTATGCCGACAGAGCTGCTGCTGCTGCAGAGAGATGGCAGCCGGGCTCAGACTCCGTCGATTGGAGTTGCTCGTTGTTGTTGGCACAGGCCATCACCCTTCCAGGCATGGTTGGTTGGTTGGTTGGGTTGGGTGGTTTGGTTTGGTTTGGTTTGGTTTTGGTTTTGGGTTGGTTTGGTTGGGTTGGGTTCAGCTGGGTGGGTTGGGTTGGCTTGGCTTGGTTGGGTTGGGTTAAGTTGGGTGGTTTGGTTTGGTTTGGTTTTGGTTTTTGGTTGGGTTGGGTTGGGGTGGGGTGGGTTGGGTTGGGTTGGGTGGTTTGGTTGGTTTGGTTATTTGGTTGGTTGGGTTGGGTTGGGTTGGGTGGTTGGTTTGTTTGGGTAGGGTTGGGTTGGGTTGGGTTGGGTTCGGTTGGGGTGAGTTTGGGTGGGTTGGGTTTGTTGGTTGCTTGCTTGGTTGGTTGGGTGTGGGTTGGTGGGTTGGTTCTGTGGTTCGGAATCCTGGCTGACTACAATCAGAGTGGGGCGCGGGCCTTACACTTAGTTCAGGCAGCATTGGCTGGATGATGTTCGTGTGCTGAAAGCCTTTTTTTTGGGGGGGTCCTCCAATTTTGACACATGTACCATGCCAAGGGACCCCTTCCCCCCCCGAATTTACATGGAACCAAGCATGGTACCTGGTACCCCCAAAAGAGATTCCTCGAAAAGAGATGGGTTGGTGGGTCCACGTTAATCTGCAAAAGTTTCTTTCTTTCCAAGGAGGATCAACAAGTCAACCGGGCGAATCCCAGTTTATCAATCCGCCGGCTACTGGTTTTTGGCGCCTTTCTTCACTCGGGGCACTGGGTACCTTGTTTGAAAGGTTTGGTAGGGTTCCGCTTTGGCTTCTTGTGGTTGTGTCAAGCCTTGAAAAAAAAACTGATCCACTGGCCAAACGGATCCAGTCCGCCGAAAACCTCGTGCGAAAACCCGTGGCGAAACTGCTGAGGCAGCGCAAGCCGCGCTGAGGCAGCGGGGGCCGCGAAGCATCCACACCAAGTTGCGTTGGGTCTGAAAAAATACATATGGGAGTGTTGTGTTGCTGGCAGTTGGTATTTCAAAGGGAAGCCAAAAGGAAACCCGCCCTTTGGGGGGGTCCCTGACCCATGTTAACCTTGGAAAACCTGCTTTGCGGCTTTGCCGAACACGCAATTGCAGGTGAGGCGACCATCTCGATGGAGCCGCTTCCTGTAGCCGTGAGCGGCGGCGAATGCTTGGCAAAAAGAATCCGCCGGCGATGCAACCAGCTCAGCGCATGCGGTGTGTTCGGCTGAAATCAGGTGCAGCACCCCAAACCCATAGGGCCATAGGTGTCTTTTTTTAGGTTAAGTTGGTTAGAAATAGATGGACTCCATTGCTTTAGATGGGTTGGTTCCATTTGCATACTTTTCCAAAAGGTGACCTATGGCCAAACACTGAATTCGCTATTCTTGTAGGTGGCTCTAAAACGTGGCTTCATACGGATTCAAGTAAGGCTTGAAGAAACCGTGATGGCCATCTTGGTAGAACCAAAAGTCAATGGGGTTTGGGCCATGCTTAGGTCTTCACTTGATGTACGTAATGAGTCGCTGATATTCCTCGTCCGGTGCGGTGTGTCACTCACCTGACCATCACAGCGGAGGACACCAAAACTAAAACATTACAAAAACATTACAACAAGAGCAACTACCAAAAATCACCAAGGGTCACACATATGTGTATATCTACATATATATATATATATATATATATATACAGAGAGAGAAAGTATACCTTGAATCATACCCCCCAACCAAACTTCTCAGTCCGATCACCCAGTTTTGACACAGCCCATATATACATAATACATACATAACCCATATATATATACATATATATATATATATATACATATGTGCACATGCGCGGGCACACGCGTCAAGCTTCCCACTTGCAGTGACATAAGCCGTGCCATGGGGCTCCATGAGTGAGCCTTCCGCCAAACGCTCGCGGAAGGTTTGGCACCCAGATGCCCAAGCTAGAACGGCGTTTGTTTGGAGGGACCCGATTTTTGGGGTTTGTTTAAAGGGAAACCAAAGAAAACGACCCCATTCTGGGGGTGCGTACCCCCCACTTCAAGATAAACCCGAAAGGTCCTGGGATTGGAGGAAGAGCAACTTCCAATGCGAGCTGCAAAGTGTGCATCGTCAACTTCGCATTGAGCTGACGGTTGGAATAGGTTTCTTTGAAGACGGCTGAGACAGACCAATAGAAATGCCACGGCGATACGCGGCTCAAAATGCTTGGGACATGTTTTTGGAGGCTCTTGCGGATTTCCAGTTTCCCCAAACCATGACCCCATGCTTACTCGTGGGGTTTAATGCCAGTGACAGCCAGGTACTCACATTTCCAAATTGAGGTGAGTACTCCTTTCCAAACCTACCCCATTCTCTGAATACCCGCACTGCTATGGTATAATGTCAATGTCAACCCAGGACTAGAAAGGAGGGACTTAGAAAGCCAGGTTTTCCAAAGAAAACTGAGGAACATCAGGTATAAGACGAGGGAACCTTTGGTCTCGGTGCGAGGATCCGCAACTCCCCATCTTCGCCTTTCGCAAGGACTGATGCGAACACTCCGAAGTCCACTTGCGCGAAGCGCGTGACCCCTGCAACCCCCTGGGAGAGAGATAATTAGATACCTTGGAGTGTTTGGAAGCGTATGTCTTGGAGCGTTTGGGGGATCATGTTAGGAGCCTTGTGGGTAGTTTTGTGGGTGGTGCAGGGGTTTGTTTGCCAGAATCGCAAGTGCGGAATGAAGCGGCTTCCTGCGTTTGGCCGCTTTCGGCTACAAAACAGGATTTGGAGGAAACGGCCGGGCGAAGAGCTGCAGGAGATTGTGAATGCGGTCCAGCAGCACAGAGTCGTGGTCCTGGTGGGCGAGACTGGCAGCGGCAAGACAACTCAGGCATGAAAGCAGCGGAGCAGTTTTATGTCGCCTGAGAGTGAGTCCCCAACACTTCCGGATGTTCCGATTTCCCTTTGGCCCCTTTCAAGCCCGCGACCACTAACCTTTTGAGCATGACCCTGTGCTCAGCGCCCGAGTGAAGCCCCAGTTGCTCGGGTTGCTGACCATTGAACGCTAACGCCCAGAGGTTGGATGCAGTTACCCAATTCCAATTTGGAAATTGGGGGACAGACCCAATTCCAATGTCAGCTAGGGACAATGAATATTGACTGCACTCAGTGGCATATGGCCGGGCCTTTACCATGCCCTTTTGCAGGATGTGACGTCAAAGCAGGTATCTCCTGAAACCCAGCTTTTCAGAAACCACCAACTTGAACAAGCAAGCATTTGGATTGTAACATAGACTAGGTCCCCCAGTAGTGCCCTTCTCTCCCTTTTTTTCTGGTTGGGATTTTGGGTTCCCCTACTAAAATCGACTCCAAAAAAACACATCGGGTACCAACTTATTCTAACCTCTGAAATCTGGAGGACCTAGGGCCCATTCTTTCCAGGGATCCTTCTTTCCGGCAAACCTTCGGAAACCCAGGGAAAACGACTGTTTATTGGAAAGAACGATTGTTGAAAAGAATGGTTGGAATCTGCCCATAGAAGATTGCCCTTTCAGTTTGGCGCCCGGCGCCCGCCGCCAGCTGCCAGGTACCCCGTTTCCTCTATGAGGCCAACCTGGCGCAGCGCTGCATCGCAGTGACGCAGCCCCGGCGCATCGCCGCCATCAGCGCGGGGTGCTGAGTTCTCGTGATCGCCTTTGGCTGGTTTGGTTGTCCGGCTGTGACTGGTAGGGCCCCGGTAGGGCTGTTGAAGCTGCTTGTGCCCCATCATGCAATATCAGAAAGCGGAGGGGCGCGAAACGGAAACCATGGGCTTGAACAAGGGATCGGCCCCAAGGCAGCCAAGAAGAGGTGGCGTTGGTTGCCAGACATCCCATTTGGCCACAGTTCCTCACATTCGACCAGACCAGACAGGTTGCCAATCGTGTAGCTTCAGAGATGCACTGCGAAGTTGGAGGCGGCTTGACGGAGACACGCACGGGGGGGTGCATACGGTTTCTCAAACGGGGCCACCAAAATGGTCGGTTTGGGCTTCCTTTGATCATTTGAAAACACCCCAGCAACACCAGGGATATGTCTTTCAGGGTATCCCTGCGGGCTTACTTGAAAAGCAAACCCAGGGAAAACAACAATCATGTGGGGAAATCCATGTCATATTTTCAGACACCAGCGTGAAGATACCCTAAACTCAGCAGGGATGATGATCACCGAAACGATCCGGTGTGGGTTGCAAGGGACCTGACGTGCATTTGCTCCAACTTGAGGTTCCCCATGGGCAATGTCTCCCCAACCCCCTTTAGGATACAAATCATGAGGCATGGCCAGACATAGGAGAATCATTCAGCAGCTTTGTCACCGAACTGAGCCAGCGCTTGATCTCGAAAGTCCCAAATTCAAAATGCTCCCGGTGCCGGTGCTGGCCTGTTGATGTATGTGCGTGTCAGAAGATTATGCGGATATATTTGCAAGAGGTCACAAACAACTTGTCATGTTTCATATCGAGGATTTTCAAACCCCGCATCTTTTAGGTTGGTCTTGAGTGGACTCCTTGTGTCCAGCATGTTAACACGTGTCCGGAATGCCTGAATGATGACTCAAGGCATGGATGTGACGATACGGATTCAACATGAACGATCTAAAGTCGATACTCCACACAAATCCGTCTGCCTTGGACACGCTCTCCTTTTCCTAGGCCAATGGTCTTGCTTCCCTCCAACTCCCACCATCCTGGAATGTTACAAGACGGGCTGACAGAACTGCATCAAGTGCATACATCCAGAGGCTGCTACCATATGGCTTCCGTTCAAAAAGGCCGGCTAAGGAGCTATATGCAGTTTCTGCGTAATTCCTGTTGCATCTTGTTTTGTCCTTTTCGAAATGAGGCGGGCCCCCACCTAAATCATGCAAATCCCACTGGCAGCGCTAGCTTCGCGCTAGCTCGGCGCTAGGTCAGGGACGTTAGTTGACGTGGCATGAGATGCGCAAGCATGGCCCTTCTGTCCGGTCGCTCTCAGGGCTCGAAGCATTCCTTGGTCCCAAAGCGAAAGTGCTGCGTCTGCCACGCAAATCTGCACGTGTCTTTTGCGAAAGTGCTGCGCCTGCCATGCCTGCCCTTCCGAAAGCATTGCGCCTGCACGAAATCTGTACCTGACCTTGCGAAACGTGACCCTGCAAAATCTGAAAACATAGGCAGTTTTTCGCGCTAGCACCGCGCTAGCACCGCGCTAGCAGGCAGTTGCCAACTTGAACACTGGGGCACGTGCCTTGTTGGAGGCAATACCCAAGAAGCCACTTGCATGTTTCTAGGCTGTAGTTGTAAGTCAGGTTCAGTAAAACTATATATCCGTAGTACGAACCAATTCCGTTTTGTTGCTTGCTGAAGATGTGGCGTAGAACATTGAAATGTCTTGTGTTTCAAAATATCCTATGGCAGCAGCTCGACAAGCTCGGATAGCTCATCCAACGGCAGCCCGCGCTAGCGCGCCTGTCAGTTATTTGTACGTTTCTCCGTCAAATCTATTGTGCACCAACATTTTGGCAACCAGCCATATAATATACCTTTGAGGGGTAGTATCAACTTGGGTTGTTCCAGTTGAGTCTTGGGCTCAGTCCCAAAATTTGCGCAGAAATGGCTTCTCGTTTGCTTGACGGTACTCAGAGTTCGTAAGAGCTGCCAATTGAGAACCGCGGTCGAAACATGTCAAACAAACTGGCAGCTCTTACGTGACAAATTGTTAGAGTGTCATGAGGCTTGCCAAACCTGATAGATCAGAGCGTTGAGGATTTATGCCTTGCCAGGCCTCGTGGGATATCACGTGCGTTTTCTGAACAAGACCTCCCACCAAACCAGAATCAAGTGCCCGACTGGTCTGCATTTGACCCAGTTGCCCAGTTTCGGGCAGGTCGCTGCAGACAAGTAATGGCAACCCCGCATGAATAAACCCCTGCTTTTTGAGGGGGCTGGGGGGTCCCTGGCTTTGGTTTTAGTGGGGATTCCCATAATTATTCATAAACAGGGGTATATTCATCCGGGGTCAACATGAAGGCGAGCTCGCTTTCCCCCTGAGCGGGTCCGATGAACCAGTTGATCCCTTACTTCCAGTTGAGCGGTACCCAAATCCTTTGGTGGCCATTTTAGTACGTACGCCTACCATATCTGACGCCGATAGAATTCAGCTCGCCGTTATTCCAGGTGGGAGAGACGTGTGGCCAGTTGCAGTATCATATGCACCCTGCAGTCATGGAACCACCTATATCATATTCTGCAAACATGGCTTGCTCCTCAATGCAGCGCACATAGGCAATGCCGTGGCACATTGACGTTCTTGGCTTCACGCGTTGTGGATCCGTTCTTTACACCCTCATGTATTGGTGGCCGCGGAAGATGGCTTGGTGATCTGTTCCTGGAGGGCTGAGAGTTTGAGATATAAAGGGCACTGTTTCCGGTAGAACGACACCAACGTATGTCAAAAACCAAGCTTGAAGCATGTAGTTGCAGAGTTGTCCATACATGGATTTCCCAGTAGCAACTGTAAAGAAGACGCGCCCCCGCCAATAACGCCGCAGGTAGGCAATCCTTTTGGTAGGCGGTTGTACTAATATGGGTGGGGTATAGCGAGGGCAAGGTACAAATGAATAACCATGTTGGAAGGACCCAGAGTTTCGTGTGTGTGTGTGTGGGGCGCTGCCTTGTTTGTGAGTTTTACTGGTTGGCAGTGCAAGATGCAATGGCAAATGCTTTTCCAGGAATTGAGTTGCGCAATTTGGGCCATGTCACCAATGAGTAAAGGACATGATGTTCTCACGCTGGCATATCCCCAATTGACATAGATATGATATGATATGACATACTCCACTGACGCAGACTTGTTTATGGCGGATTTTCGGATTGCCCGTGTAGCATTTGTTTGGGGTACACATTTGAGGTCTGTAGAACCTGAGATGCCGCTAGTGCGGTCTGGGTTGAGCCAGGTACATGACCGACGGCATGTTGGTCAGAGAGTCGGCTGGCACAGGCCGGAAGAAGAGGTTCCGATCGGTACATCCCCGAAATTCTGGGCCTGTTTCCCACCGGGAAAGGCTCTGAGACTAGGACAGGATCCTGTTTTCCTCCCGAGTTTGGTGTGTTTCACTGCGGAAGCGTGCACGCCCGGCTGGATCTTTCTGCAAGGCCGTGCGTTCATCCGACATTCGCATGTTGTCAAGGCAAATCTGGTGCGGATTGCAAGAATACATCTCTCTTTTTGAGCTGTTCAAACTGGGATGATCCATGAGAATTTGCTGTCAGCGTCCAAGACAGAATACAGCTGGACTACAGCTGGATCAAAATATTTCGAAGCCATTGCTTTCTCTCTCTTTTTTTTTGGAGACCATTTGGAGGAGGTCCGGCTCGTTTTGACACATGACTCCTGCCAGCAGGCTTGCTAATTGAGGTAAGCCCAAAAAATGGTGGCGGGGGTTCTGCTTGTTTCATTGTTTGCCTGAATGAGGCTCTGACTTCCTAACTAATTTTGGGTGAGTGGCTTTCATTTCGTTTCCCTTGAAACCACCGCAAAAAAGGAAAGGTACCCATCTCCACAAAAGACAACTATTCGGCATCGCACTTCTGCGGGTGGTGTCCCTTTGGTTTTTCTTGACAACCACGGGTGCAAGCTGCGAGGCCGAAGTGGCATCCGTGGAGCCTCCATCATCATCTTGGATGAAGCTCACGAGCGGGGCCCCCAGCCAGAAACTGCTGCCCTGGTCGAGGGGGCATACATTTTAGTAGGGATCGAGTTCTACCCGGCGCAATGTTTTTTTTGTAAGTAAGGCATAGAGTTAGACATCCTGCCCAAACGGGAATGTTGGCCCCAGATGTTCGTACCTTGACGGATGATGGGGTTGTCTTCATCAACTGGCTGCGGTTCTTTCGGTGTGCTTCAACAAGCAGCCAGAAGGGCTCTCTAATGTTCGGAAACGTCGCCACTAAAGTTGCCTCCAAATGGAATACGGACCTGCAGTGGGCTCATCAGCGACATCCCCGAAGGGGGTCGCCCGAAGAAAGACATCCAAGAGCTGGGCTTCCCAACCAGGGCATTCTTTTGATCTTTAATTCAGGATCACAACATGTTGCCTTGCAGACCATTTGAGCTTCCTAGTTGGTGGTGATTGGTGGTTTGGTGGTTTAGGGTGAAGGAGAGCAAATCCCCAAACCACCAATTTCCGTACCACGAACCACGTAAGGGTTACGTGTCCAGTGACCATTGCATGCCAGCGCGGAACAAGACATCCAACTCAATCGGCTCAATGTCAAAGGCTCCTTTTCGGCGGCTTTTGAGCAAGTCTCGCATCCGGCTCTGGACGCCCTATTCGGTAAGTTTCGGCTGGAAACTGCGGGTGTGCCGGGCGTACCCGTGTTCGGGAAGCAACCAGGGCCCCTGGTGTGGCTGCGCCTTTGAAGGGGCAACCTGGCCACAAAGCATGTTGTCACAAGCGGACTATGGATCAGGGAGACGAATGGCATGGTGAGTGAAGGCCACCGATGTGATAGGGCGTTGCAAAAGCGAAGAACATTTTACTTTTCCATGGCTGTGTGTGTGTGTTCAACCGCCGCAAGACGCGAGAGTAGGCTGAGTCCAGCCAAGATTTGCCAAGACCTTGCCATGCTCAGGAAACCCCTCAAAGGACATCAGATATGGGCTGATCGTCGGCTCCCATCGATGGGGCTGGATGTCCCAGGCGGAGCGTTCACACCGACGTGCTGCTGGGCTTGCTGAAGCTGGCCGGGCGCTCAGCCGAGAATTCGATTCAGACCGATTCCCTTTGTCAAAAATCCGCGACTGGGTCGGCGTAACCCTCCGGTCCCTTTGTTTCCTTTGGGAAGAGAGAGGCAGACGGCGAGTCGCAAGACGACAAGACGACAAGACGAGCTGTTGGAAGTCAATTACCCCGTCAGCCAGTTTCCAGTTGCTTCCAAGTTTGCCTCTTGGGAATTGCCTCGGAAACGGGGCATAGAGATTCGATCTGAAGAAATTCCCATGCCGGGTTCAAAAGTGTGCCTTGCTCGCGGAGATGAAGCTGAGTCCTTCGGGGTTCCGGACTTTCCCCGAGTGGGAATTGAGACATTGTGCTACCCCGTGGTATCACGGCTTTGTTCGAGCCATTTCAGCCGCACAGAAAACTTATCAAGATTGGCTGGCCAAAGTCCAAAACCCTACTGTTTTTTCTACAACTGCCACATGCTCTTAGTTTTGGCTCTCAAGCCCTGTTGATCTTCCGCGGCTCATGCTCTCACTTTCGGCTCATTGATTTGTCCATTGCTTTCTCCAGGCTTTGGAAGCAGATGACCCGCCGCGACTTCGGGTTGGCGCCTGAAAAAAAGCATCGGCGTACGGGAAATACCGGGTGTGTCTTTGGAGAGGAGTATGGTCGAGAAAACGTTGACATCCGAATGCTGGCTTTTCAGGTCAGTTTAGCCGAAACAAACTAGAGTATTTCACTGGGCTCAGAGTTAGGCCCTCATCTTTTACCTGTTTCCAAAAGGATGCCTCTTGACATCCCAACTCATCTTGCGGGCGGGTCCCATGGGCCGCCGTTCTAAACGGCTCCGTGCTCAAGAAGCTGCCTGCCGGGAGTTCCTCACACTCGAACGACGGAGTGAGGTGGTTGTGATGTCTGCCACGATTCAAGCAGCGCCCTTTGTGAACTTCTTCGGTGGTAGCGACAAGGCGCGAGTGCCAAGAGTTTTGATGGGAAGAGTTGGTCATTTTGGGGCCAGGAAGATTGATCAACCCCCAGTTGGCATAGCACCAAAATACCACGAACCAGGGGTCGCGCACGAACACCCAATGTGCTTTTCGGGGGGCGCCCGCCACAGATTTTCCACCACTCGCGTGAAGCACCTTTGCAAGGTGAAGCTGATCAATGTCCCAGGGCGACTGCATGATGTGCCGCTCGGCGCATTGCTGACTCCCTTTCCAACAATCGTAGGAGCTGAAAGGATGGAATACATTCCGCTTAAGATGTTCTTTTGTCCACTTCCAAGATTGTGAGGGTTGCAGAAGTTCTGTGACGCAGGAAGGTCTTCTACACCCCTGTCCCGGAACCGGACTTCTTAGAGGCTGTGAGCAAAGCTTTTCGGACCCCAGCCAGGCCCTGAGGGGATCCCAGCCAGGCAGCGCTGCTGACGGTGCTGCAGCTCCATGTTACTCGACCTCCTGGAGATGTCTTGGTATTCCTGCCATGGACTCAGCGGGAAGCTTCACGTCTTGTTTGGCGTCTTGTGGTGGGAAAATCGTGCAACGTCGCCTCCTTCGGTGTGTGTGTGTGCTTTGCGTGCAAGGTATTGCGCGTCATGCGCCAAATGGAATTGAACACATATTGAGGTTCGGTCTTAAAATTATGCAGTGAATTTTGGACTTTAGTTGGTTTAGTTGGCATTTAACCCACCAAAAGTGAGAGACTTTTAGCAGGGGTTCTGAAAACAAACAGCCCAAAGTTCCCAAACCAAAAAAATCACGGAAACTTGCTCGTGACTTTTGGCTGGTGTCTTGAACCAACGGAGGCCGGGTCAGGAAGACATCGACAGCTTGCAGAGACTCCTAGAAGAGAAGCAGGAGAGAAGCGGCTGGCTCTTCGGCTATGAAAGGGCCCAGCCACGTGCCCCTGGAGTAAATTGTTTTATATATGCGTACATACTATAATGAATGTATATATATATGCACTAAATTATATATATATAGATGGTCATGTGTACAATATATATGTATACACAATACACATTATGTATTGTACGTGTACATATATGTAATGTAAATACATATATATATATATATATTATGTGCCCTTGAAATACTTTTATACGCGACCTTTATGCATGGCCCTTCTCGATATACACATTCTATACGGGGCATCATCTATCGGCACCGGTACATGGTCGAGCCACTAGATGCACCCGAGCCACTCGATGCAGACATGCCGTCCAGAGGGAGGGGCCGAACAGGGGAGCCATCAGAGGGTCATGGCCCTTTTGGGTGTTTAACCGGAATTGTCAGTTGTCACTACTCGGTTGCAATGGCTCCCGTGATGGCTCCAAATCAGCATATGAGTCTTGTGGGCCTTGGGTGCTGGAGCAACTTGTGCGGCGCAGGAGACGCTGGTCAAGGAGAGGCAGGACGGGAAACATCACCGAAACGCGCGGAGGCAAACAGATAGAGGAGAAAGACTGAGTTCTCAATGGCGCGTCAATCAACCTAGCAGTTTATCATGTTCGAACGTTCAAACTGCTGAAGGCACCCACTCCTGCATGGCTTGAACAAGAACCAAGCGTTTTTACCTGTACCAATTCTGAGAAGCATGTGAGCGAGTGCAAGGCAAGAGCACCCCAGCAAGAGTGTGGTGGAGGACCTGAGTCAAGGCACGGCTGGGTATTCCTTCAGTGGGAAGGGGGTCGGCTCCCTCGAAATGGGTTCAAGACACGGACCCAACCGGCAGCAAGAATCGAAGCCTCCAGTGAACCGGGCCCCAGTTCGCCAATGAACCGCACAACCCCCCCCCTCCACGACGTTTAGTGCCCTGCAAATTGCTTCAGTTCTGGGCAAACGGTGATCGGCATCTTGATTACGAGGGCACCAACGGCTGGAGAGTGATGATGTGACTCTGCTGTGAGCATTTTCAAAGTTGGCTATATAGTCTAGTTCTGTAGTTCTGTCTCTTGTTTTTCTGTGGGCAAGTACATGTTGTACTATATCGTTTGACCACTTCTCCGTTTGGGCTATATACCGGCTACGGTGTATACACTGGTGTTTGTGTGTCTGGTGTGATGTGTGTACATGTATGCGTGTTTCTGACCACGTGAGTTCGTGTGTGTGTGTGTGTGTGTGTGTGTGTGTGTGTGTGTGTGTGTGTGTGTGTGTGTGTGTGTGTGTGTGTGTGTGTGTGTGTGTGTGTGTGTGTGTGTGTGTGTGTGTGTGTGTGTGTGTGTGTGTGTGTGTGTGTGTGTGTGTGTACATGTATGCGTGTTTCTGACCACGTGAGTTCGTGTGTGTGTGTGTGCGCGCATGCGAGAGCCCTTCGTGCTACTAGAACTTTGGCACAGGATGGGTTAAGCTGACGTTCTATGCTGGCCACCAGCTTCTTTGTCAATGGCTTCCGTGTGAGTGTGTGTTCGTGTATGTTTACGTGTCTGGCTGTCTGCGTGTTTGCGTGTGTGTGTTTTTGTGTGTGGGTGTCTGTCTTCGTGCGTGTGTTAAACTGTGCGTTTCTCATTGCATGCCTGCCTGCCTGACTGTGTGTCTGTCTGTCTGTGTGAGGCTCCCCTCTTCATCTAGGCCCAGGTTTGAAGCGAAACCAACAGGGACACCACTATTGGAGTCCCCGTGGTTTGGCAAGCAGCAAAGATGGGTATGTCTTTTTGGTTGTTGTTTAAAGGTGGTTGGTGTTTAAAGGAAATCAAAAGGTAACTCCGTAATTTGGCGGGGTCCCCTAAAATATGACACACCCATTACTGCATGGGATCCAGCAGGATAGTGTGGATGGACGAAATCCATTTCGCACCACTTTGAAACCGTGGTTGAAATCATTCTTTGCTGGTATTTATGGGGAAGTCATTAGACAACAGGGTTTGATAGGTGGTGCCAAATCGATTTTGTCCATCCATGGCCAGGTGTGACCGGACAGTGGCCCAGCTTTGGCACGGCCGGGGTCTTGGATTTGCAGAACCGTTGGGCTTGGGGAACATACAGGATGATGACATGTATACATATAGCTTGGACACACATGAACTCTAACATAAAGATACGTGTCAATCTAAATCCTAGCTTAACGTTGACGGATTTCACATTAATATTACAATCAGGATTGAAATTATACTTGAAGTCTTTTCTTATAGAATTGTGATTGAAATATACCTAAACTTGAATCGATATCCTGTTTGCTTTCAGGAGCTTGGAAGGAGTCCGACAGGAGCTTCATAAGGATCCTTAGCAGCTTCGCAATGAGCCTTATTAGGAGCTTTATAAGGAGCTTTGCAAGTAGGGAGAGAGTAGTAAGGGACATATAAGGTGCCTTGTGATGCTTGAGTCAAGACGTTAAAGCCAGGTATTGAAATCGAAATCAAGATCAAAATTATGATTCGGGTCTGTCGTTGCTGACTCTGTTTAGAGGTCCACCAATGTTCAATCAAAGCTCATGAAGTTTAGTCAGCTCTTTTGTTTGATCAGTATCAGCAGCAAAGACAAACGCACGGCTTTTTTGTTGAAAGGAACATGCTAAACAACTCAAAAACTGCGGGAACACTAATCCCTCGAGAAGAAAACAAGTCAAACTGAGACAAGAGGTCTTGGCTTTGTCAACGGTGTGATATGTCTTCCCCGAGTTGTTTGTGTGATGTGTCCCTTCGTTGTATGTTTTTGCATTTGCAAACCGAAGCTTCAGGCACGTTCAGTTGTGTGGCGAGTGTCAGCGGGAAAAACACGAACAAACACGAGCGTTTTGTTGTTTGAAAGAATCTGCTAAACAAAAACAACTAAATTAAGGAAGTCCAACAAGACAAAAACTGATCGAGACAACAGACACAACTCAGCTCAACGGTTGTTTAGAATGGTGGTTTTCCCGCATGCCTTTTGAGTTAGTTTAGACAGATTTTTGAAAGCCAAGCTTGGCTTTTTGGTTTTGCGACTGCTGACACAATAAATGGAATTAGCAAACCTGATCCTTTGACTTGTTTGAGTTCGCGAAGTTTTTTGTGGTGTTGCCTCAGGTTGTTTTTTTTTTGTTAACTTCCCGTCATAAAAGAAGCAACAGCTTCACCTGTGTTTAGACTGCTTTGGCAGCAGTTCAATAGGAAGTGTGACCATGCATATCTACAATATAAACACATACATTGGCTGCAAACCTCATTTTGCCGCGGGTAGTGGTACAGGTTGGTGGTACGCCTTTGAGAGCCTTGTTCTCGTCAGAATGTGTATGTGTCAAGCCACGGAAAATCATTGGCCCTAGGGCGAGAGAGAGAGAGAGACAGAGCGATAATGAAAGACGGGCTGTCCAAACCTATTTTTCTTTTTTTGCTATGTCCCCTTCCCTCATATTGCCCAGAGCTTCGAGTTTCATACTCTTTCGGGCAGGGGAGAGGACAAACACCGGCACTTAGCAGATGCAGGGCACAATGACCTCTGCTCAGGTGCAGAATCTTTTGGTTCGACCAATCTATGCTGCGCTACCATTCGACCAGCAGGCCCAATCTTTCTCATTGGATTCTGCCGTATCTTGGCTTGGCTTGCACCTGAAAGTTGGTTTTGAAAGGCGCCCAAAAAAGTTGTGGCTTCGGAGCATGCATCACTTGTAGCTGAACATTTGCATGCCGACTCAAGGTATTTGCTGTATTCGCTTTGCATGCTTGTAGCTTGTCTAGGTCCCCCAGTACTAAAATAGACTACAGAGAAGAACTCGGGTACCCTTATTCTAACCTCTCAAATCTGGAGGACCTAGTTGTATTTGGGCGTATTTGTTTGAGCCACTGGCTTAGCCAGGAGCTGGTTTTTGCCGAGACGCCTCCCGGGCCAGCTCCCGAGATGCCTTGGGACTGGGGCGTTGAGCATGTCTTGTTTTCCATTTCGGGCCCCCAGGTTTGACCACGAAACACTCTTCCCATTTTTTTGGACATATGGCTGTTCGTCAAAACCCCTGGTACCATTTTGGGGTAGGTGCCCCACCCATTTTAGAACCTATTTTAGTGGGGATTGGAATGTTCACTGGGGGTACGGGATTTTGACCCATGGCCATATCAGATCCTTTTGGGATTTCCATCCCATGGTCATTCCATGCTTCCCATTGTCTTTTTGGACATATCAAATCTGTCCGTTGCTTTTTGAGACATGTCAAATCTTGGTGGGTTTTCCAATCAATGGTCATCCCATGTATCACGCAACCCGCCGCACTTGTTTGAGCGACTCGGAGCTTTTCGGCGCTGGCCGAACAGCAGCGCACTCAGCGCCGCATCGCTCGATTTCGGGTGGGCCAAGTGCGTGAGGTGCAGGAAGATTGTGCTGGCGACGAACATCGCAGAGACGTCCATCACCATCCCAGGGATCAGATATGTGATTGAGCTTTGGCGAGATTAGGCTGATCCATGGTTTTTATTTTATTTGTTTAATGCAGAGAATGGCCAGCTGCGATTGACAAGGTGCATTGTTGGTGCTTTGTAGATACGTTCACTGAGCATGGAGCTACTTGCCATACTCGAGAAAGCTTGTGTGTTCCACGGCTTGTTTGAGATGAACCAATGGAGATCAATCCTTCATTGTAAAGCATAACTTGGTTGCCTAAAGCCGATCTTTTGACCTTTTAGTTTTCCTGATTTGGTCCGTTGTTAGTCATTGTTTCAAAAGGGCAGGGTCCTTTGGGCCCATGGCTGGCAAATGGCCCAAAGAAAATCAGGCAGTAGGTCACTGAAGAGATACAGCCATTGGGGCCGGTTCGGCTCTCAACGATCGCAGAGGATACCGGGCTGATGAAACTGAAGATGTGCCACCCCGAGACCGGCATCGAGATGCTGAGGCCATGGCCGGAGATGGCCGGAGGGCCACAGCGCAAGCGCTTACCTCTTAAAAACACAACTTGAGTCGAAAAAAAAACCGTTGTATGTGTCAATGTATGGCATGATCCCAGGTCTTTTGGACCTATCAAATTAGCTGCACCGCCGCTTGTAATTTGAATGGCAGGAGTGTTGCAGGAGCGGCCGCGCAAGTCAAACATGGGGCCGCGCAAGTAAAGCGCAAGTGAAGCGCAAGTGACGCAGTGATGATTCATCATCATCATCATCATCATCATCATCATCATCATCATCATCATCATCATCATCATCATCATCGCATGGTCGAAAGAATCCGGAAGATTGCTAAATTTTCGCGCAAGTCGCGCGCAAGTCGTAGATGCCTTGGATCAGGAGTGGCCCATTTCTGTAGTTTGCATTTTCTTTGTTTCTGCAGATCCCAGCAATGAGTTGCAGCAGCAGCCAGCAGCAGCAGCAGCAGCAGCCAGCAGCAGCAGCAGCAGCCAGCAGCAGCAGCAGCAGCAGCAGCAGCAGCAGCCAGCAGCAGCAGCAGCCAGCAACAATTTGCAGCGGTGTACACACCTGAGACCTCATACACTTAAGGGGCATGTTTTTGGGGGACCTCACTCTTATGAAGACCGCCGCTTGGAGTTGCAATAAAAACATCCTGGGATAAGAGTTTTAATACGGTTTTCTTTTCCAGCTCTTTTTGGGTAACATGGGCTATATGTCTGTAAAAGATTAACTTCCCCAGAGCTTGGAGTTTTGAGGGGTAAAAGCGCTGGGCTTAAAATGGCAACCCAACCACACCAACTACAAAACCCACTAAAAAAAGGCGACGGACGGCTGGGAGCCGCCCAGTTTCGAGTCAATTCATTCGGGCTCGCTACATTCAGTTTTTGTTGTTTGGGATGGTGTCAACATCGCCAAAAGGAAGCGCCATGTGTGTGAAAAACATATTCTTGGGGGGGGGGGTGGTTCTGATGTTTAAAGGGCACACAGGAACCCTCGTCGCCAGCTTCTCTCATTTTCTCATTTTGCTCCACCCGTGAATCTGACAAATGGCCCAGATTCTTGGCGCCTGGGCCCCAAAAGCAGCACAGAATTGGTATCGAAATGGTCCGGCTCAAAAGTTTTTGGAGCCCTGTTTTAGATGTTTCCCATCCAGCATACAGAACTGGGCTGTGTCTTCTAATTGAGGGACCCCCCCTTGCAAAATGAGCGGGGTTTCCTTGAATTCCCGTTTGCTCCACCCTTAAAGGGGTATATAAAACCGGCTCCCGACTTGTGGCAAGTGGCGCCAGGACGGTGGAAACATCGCAAGCATCTGCTTTGCAGCGGGCTGGACGTGCAGGCCTGTGGCAAGTAATTGTTCCTTGTGCGAATTCATTTAGCAGACCACCTGCGCACTCTATGTTGGAGGAAGGGTAGATGGGTGTTGCAAGTTTTTTTTGTTTTCTGTTTTTTTGGTTTTTCTGTCCTTTTGTTTTTTGTTTTTTACACTGACTTCCGCAGCACCCAGCTTCGGTTTCGGTTGGGACCATCCCCAATAGGCATCCGGGCGTTCTTCCACCTATGACTTTGTATCCAAACGGATAGAGAAGCCCAAATGGGTGGTTCGCCTTTCTTCCCTCTTGTACATCGATTCCGAAAATGTTTCGGGATGATAAACGCGAACTCATTGATGCACCATAGTCAGGTCCAGAAGGATCTGTGAGAGATGCGAGATGGGAAAACTGAAAGGACATGTCAGGATTCTGGACTGGCGACCCAACAGATACGGGTTTGGCTCTTGTGTGGGTGCCTTTTTTTGGTTGGTTTTAATGGGAAACGAAGAGGCAGACAATTTGTTGGGGGTCGCCGAGAAAGCAAGACAGACCAGTCTGCCAATATACAAAGTTGTCTTTGCATGGAGATTCCCTGTCTGCCTACTCAGAGGGCGAATCATTTTCAGGGATTGTGAATTTTAATGGGACGCACACATCCAAATCCGCATAGAATGATATCTCCCAATTGAAATTCAGGATGTTTCTGAAGTGAAAAACACCCCTCTTAAAAATTGAGAATCATAGAAGAAACCTCAAGGCCACCATTCGTGGTGGTCCCGGATTTTAGATGTGCAGTGACATGGACTTGACCCTCCTTTTGTCAAGGTCGCGAGGCTGCGGGTGAGGTCTTCCGCCTCTATGTGGAGTGCGCGGCTCGTTCTTCTCGCTGAAGTCTGTGGACTGAGTGTTTCTTTTTTTTTCTTTTTTTAATCAGACCACTGGGTTGGGTTTTGGTAACATCCACTGGATCTTGAAGTCAAAGTCTTCAGCAACAACTAAACTTTGCAACTCAAGGTCATGGTGGTACAAACAAGACTCCAGTCTTGGTTCGGCAATTCCACTCAAGTGAGGCGTTTGTTTCTCCTTCGCACGCGTTCGTCACGGATACCACGAGGTCGGAATACCAGAAGATGCCGGCTCAGACGCCTGCAGAGATCCTTCGGTGTGAAATGGCGTCCATCTACATCGATCTCAAGGCGCTACGCGATGTTACGCGCGACTCTCCAGACTGAATGGGTGTGTATATTCTTGAGGGTCGCCTTATTGGGGTTGGTTTTTTAAAGGGAAACCAAAGGGAAATTGCTTATTTGGGGGTGTCCCTCAAAAAATGACAGCCAAATGACCCAAATCGACACGCTTGTACCTGTGGCACAGTTGTCTTGTATGTGAAATGCGCAATTGTATCTTGTGTGGAAGGCTGATTGTTTTTGTTGGCCCACATAGACCTTTGGTCATTCTAGTTAGCCAAAATGAAAGAGTACGGAATGGTTAACACGCCCATAGACTAGGGCCTTCATGCCAGAGGTTTGTAGATATATAATTATGCACATATACATAGAACTATGTGTATACATAATATACATATATATATATATATATATACGCACACGTATATGCACGGGTTTATAGATTCCTTGGACTGGCTCGTGGGTGAGTCAGAGTATGTCAAGGCGCTGGGCATTCCGAAGGTGAGCACCTTTCCATTGGCACCTCGGCCGACAACTTGCGCCATCTTTGGGTAGTAGGGGCAATGCCAAGTGGTGTGGCTATCCCTCCCACCCCCCAACTGCTTTTCCAACCATGTCCCATCCGTGTCCAAGAAGCTTTTTGGGTGGGACCATGCTCTCCCCCTCCCCCCTGACCAAAAAAACCAACAACTGTTCTGCTTTTTCAACCCTGCCCGAATTTTCAACCAGTGTCGAACAAGCGGGTGGTTGGCAGAAGGCTGGTCAAAACTGGCATGGGGAAGGAGGTCCCTGAGGTTCTGCGAAACCGGCAGACGGCCTGAGGTGGACAAGCCTCCCAGAGAGTTGCTGGAGAAAGCCGCGCACTTCTTGTCCCGGATTGGCGCTTTGGATGCAAAGGATGTCCTGAGCTCAGAGAAAATGCTTGGTATTAGGACCGCAGGTGTCCTTCAAGTCAGTTTGAATATAGTGCATGGAATCAATCTATGTTTCCAGAGGGACACCTACGGAGGGAAGAAATCCTGCACCGCCGCAGACCGTGACTTTGTCCTTGGGTGGCGTGGGATGTCTGCCGTCAGCATCAGAAGACGTCAGGAATTGACCGACTTGGGCAAGAAGTTGGCCCGGATGCCGATCCACCCCTTGCCTTTGCCCCAGTTTGGACGGTGAACTTGAACCCGGGACGGCGAGGGATCACTGAATTTCAAATGCGAAATCCAGGGGGGCTGACTCTAAGTGGTGCATTTCCGTGACAGTGGCTTTGCTTTTGCAGATCCGTGCTGGGACAAGGGTTCCTAATTGATTGTTTAGTAGCCTTAAACATCACCTTCCCGTTGCCCACCTTCAGTTGAATTTCTTTTGGTAGGGCGATGTGTGGCAGAACAAATACAAGGAATCCATTCGACCGCAACTTTTCCGCTGGTTGTCCAATTCCTCTTTGGGCCGACAACCATAGGAACTTCGCAGAGGTACGCATATTGCCTCCACGTGTCCTTTGAGTTCGAATGCACAGCGGAGATTCTTAGCGCGGACCTGAGTGCCCAAGCGGATGCTGCCCGGAGAGGGACCGACCCGCCCCCGATTTTGGATGGGTTGTAGCAAAATAAGAAGACAAAACCAAGGGAAGCCCAAAGAAACGCAAAGGAAAAACAGAAACCCAATAAGAAACGTCACTAACGCAAGGGACACCCACGGACACCCAAAGAAAACCCACGAAATCCCAAGAGAAACCCAAGCCCAATGGAAAGCGAAGGGAAGTCACGAGGAAACCGCCGCATTTCAAGGGGCTCCAAGCACTTCGGGGCGGCTCCGCGAGTCGGGGTGTCGCGAGCGTTCTCCCGGGTCTTAAGAAAAGGCGCCCATGTGCCTCAATGGGCATGTGCCACAACAAGAAAGCCCTTCAACCGGCTGGAGTTGCGTTGTCGATCCGTTCAAACACCAACCGAACAGGCGGTCCCTGATGTTCGAAAAGGTCAGAAAAAGGGATGAAACCCAGACATTGGTGCTGTCCCTTTGATTTCCCTTTGCACCATCACAACAAAAAGAAAGGGTTTCCTCGTGAAATCAAAGGAATCCCAAAGAGGAGGGGTCCCTGTTGGAGGAACATGGTTCTCGAGGGCGTCTCTCTCAATTTCCATGCTTTTGGGAGCGTAGCCTCAGAAAACGCGAGCCGCCTGGCGAGGCATCGTGGCAATGCTCTCGGCAGATGCACAGATCTTCACAGCTTCCAGGAAGCAACGTGTGGCTCCCGGAGAGACAAGCCCAAGTTCAGGATCCTTTAAGGTGTTTTAGAGCACCTTTGGGCTACAAGCGTGTGTTTGGGATCAACCCTTTGTGGGTGCTTCTTGACTATCATCATTGCTGACGTGGTTTGGGGGGTATCGTCCATAGGTTCAAAAGACCTCATCTATAGAAGCGGGAATGACATTCCCACATGCCCATGTCCAAGGTGAAAAAGGCCAAAGTTTGCCCTACCATCAGGAGGACTGTGGAGAGTGAGTGATGTGACTCGGCCTCTGAACTTTTCTGGCGCGATTTTGACCCTTCAGTGGGGCATCTAGTGTCTACTTTGCATTGTTCCGGGGGACCATCAGGAGGGTTCCGCTTCTTGACGGTGCTTGGTTCATGGGGGGCAGTCATCGGAAAGCATGGTCTGGGTTCGTCGCATGTATTGCGGCTTTTGTGCACAGGAGGGAGACCACCTCTGCTTATTGTCTGCATTCAGTCAATGGAAGAAGCAGCCGAATCCAAAGGCGCGCGGCGGGGCAGCGACGTGACATTAGTGCGTCTCAAGCTTTTTTGGGGTATCCCCATTTGCTTGGATTTTAAGTGTTTGGCATGCCGAAGTTTGAGGAAAAGTCAAGTGGATGAAGCCTTTGGCCGACTTGAGTTGTGCAACTGCACCAACTTCGGTAAACCGGTCAATATCAGTTGGCCCTCCAAGTACTTGGCTTTCGTTTGGTTTTCTGTGTGAACATCATGTGTGTGTCTTTATTGTTTGCATCCAGATCGTTGAAGTGTGTTTGATCTTCCAACTGTGCTTTGTGTCCAGATAGTTTGATCCTTGTTGTCTCTTGGACGGTTTCCCTTGAAGCAGAGGGCCATAGCCCCAGAGAACCTGACTTGGCAGCACAGGAGATCTTTCCTTTGAAGCTGTTGGTCGCTTTCGGCCGAATCCCCCGAAATCGCGAGAGGCCTTTGCGGCGCAGAACTCGCTGAACCATTCCGCGCTGGAGAAGACCGTGCTGTGCTCGGAGCGAGAAACACGGGCTGGGCATGTGTATGCCTGTATGCGTGTGTGGTTGTTGTTTTTTGTTTGCTTGTTTGTTTGCGAATTTGTAAATGTGTTGGTTGTTTGTTTGTTGTCTGGCCTTTTTATTTCTCTGTTTGTCTGCTTGTCTGCTTGTTTGCTTGTTTGCTTTTTTGTTTGTTTGTTTGTTTGTTTATTTCTGTTTGTTTGTGAGGTTGTTTACTTTTGTGTTTGCTTGTGTGCGTTTTTTTTTGTTTTCCCCTTTCAAGGGTTGCTTTAAAGCGAAGCCAACAGAAAGACACCAGTTTGGGGGTACCCCTACATGCACCAGACTCAGGGAGTTAGCACTAGACAATTGAGGTTACTCACCAAAATCAAACCAGCGGCTGGGTATGCGGCAGTCAATATGAGTTTGTGTGTGTGTGTGTGTCATTGTGTTATGGTTGGAGTTGGTACCCTTTGGTTGTATTCAAGGGAAAACAAAGTAAACATGCTCACTTTGGGTTGGTTCAAGGGAAACCCGGTTTGAGATTTGCCCAATGACAGGTATTTGGATGATCCCAACCCAAACCAAATAAGCGGAGCGGCCTGTCTGTACCCCTTGTGCTTCTTGGGGTATGCATGGAAGCAGAGGGTTGCTCTCCAGCTTTCCCTGAAGTCCCAACCAAGAGGGTCGCCAGTTCTCGGACACACCCAAGGGTTGTTACGGCTGTTCGAGGCATTCCTCAATCCTTTGCGAGACGTCACCTTGGCAGTGGTTTTGACGGAGGGCTACGTTTGCATGTGGCGCAGCATGGCACCAGACCAAAAGGGGCTCATTTCATTTTGACGGATGTTACTTTAGACCCTGTTGCACCCCGCCCTGGCAGGCTGAACAGTCAAAAGTTGTGGTTTGGACCATTGTAGTCGTTGATCAAGCTGTTCATCATCCACTAGTGAATGAGTGGTGTCCATTTCTTAAGGGGCTTAACGCATCCTGAGACGGAGGGGCTTACGGTGCGGTTGGGCCACGATCCGAGGTGACGATTCGCAACCAACTGAAGGAGGTCCTAAAGGAAGCTGGGCTCTCAGGTCTCAAATCTCGTCAATGGAGGTGGACGTTTGAAACTGCAGGACTTCCAAAACCTATCTATTGCGATGATTGGAAGGGCAGCCAGACAAATCGCCGCTGGTATCGCTCCCACCGGGTTCTGGATTGCCTGACTTCGGAGCCCCAAAGCGAAAGCTAGAGCCTCAAAAGTGGCAGTTGATTTGTGTGTGTGGTTTCTTTTGCGGGGGGGGAGGCAGTGCTCCTTTTTGCATTCACGGACACCAAAAAGCGCCTTCCGCTACGCGTGGGTTGCAACTCGCGCGGCGATTCCTCGCGCGAGCCAAAGGCTTGGGGCGCGGATCAGATTTCAAGCTGCGGGGGGTCGGAGGCTCAGACGGACGAGAGCCGTTTTTCGCACCACGAGTTGAAACGAGCGTTGAAGCCATGGTTTGTCGGTATTTACAGGGGAATCATCATTCCATGGGGGTAGAAATAAGAATAAACTGTCATATTTCGTTTTTGGCGTTTGGTCCGGGGGTGAGTTAATAAATTCAGACATCACCTTTTTAGGGTAATTCAAAAGAAGCTTCCTGTGGGTGGGGTGATGAAAGCGGAGATATGTTTGGAACCCGAGGGAATGTGGAGATTCATTGGCGCTGGGTGATTTATGGAAGGGTGGCTCCATGTTGCAGGGGACTTCTCATTTATTTTGAAGATCCAGACAATTCCCGTGGTTAAAAACCAGGACTGCGCCTCATTTTGGGGATTCTTTACTTCGGAGTAGTTACCCTTTGAACATTCTGCCGGGTTCCTTTTTCCGGGGCTAACATCGATGCTCGAAGACCTCGGCATTTGTGGCAAAGACTTAAATGAACCATGAGCTGTTTTTGGAGGATATCCCATCTGCAAACACGCAACCTGGAACCGACTACGAGAAACACAGCTTTCCAATGGCCGGTCTGGTTCCATGGGGTAGGTAGTTCCAATCAGAGTAATCCAAAAAAACACATGACTCCTCAAGCCGGAGTCTCTGCAGGGAAACAAGGACTCTTGATTGCTGGCAACAACACGTCCCCTTTACCCTCTCTTGGGACCTCTCTTTGACACATCTCAGAATTGGGGGAACTCCCTACTAGTTGGTGTCCAAAGTTATCCCTTCAAGACCAGCCCAGAAGTTGGAATTCCCAAAAGCAACATGCCCTATGACAACTCCACCTGTAAAGAAGAGATCCAGGTGAGAGTCATTTGGCCATGGGTGAAAATCCAAATCGTACCCCCTGTGAACATCCCAATCCCCACTAAAATAGGTTCTAAAATGGGTGGTGCACCTACCAACCAAAATCGTACCATTGGTTTTGACCACAGCCATTTGGTCGCGAGGCCGAAGAATTGGGCGACAGTACGGAGGTGCCTCCTAAAGGCGCTGGGGTTGCTGAAAAGGAGGTGCCGCTTCCAGGGACTGGGCACCACTTCGGGGTATTTGGCGTTTGTCAATGGTTTTCGGACCAAGATGGTGCGTTGAGTGCCTTTGGGGGTTGATCAAAAGGTCCGTGATGCATGGGATGGCCATTAGGGAAACCACCAAAAAAGATGACTTTCACTACATGCGAAAGGCTACCCGTGGCTATTTTGGGGCCAGGAAACTTGATCAACCCCTGTTCCGAATGGCAACGCCTCAGATTGCTGTCAGAAGCATGGCAGGGCCTCTTTACACAGACAGCGCGGCGGGATGACGTCAATCAGAATTCGTACCGCACATTTCTCTCCAGACAGGCGGGGCAAAGAGAGAAATGATCAGTTAGAGACAGCGACAGAGAGAGAGAGAGAGACAGAGAGAGAGGGAGAGAGAATGTGTGTGTCTTCTGTGGGCAAGCCTTCAAGCGGTCAAAGCCTCGAATGCTCTCCTTCATCTTTCCAGCAATCATGGAAGTGTACACAAGTACCTCAACGACTTCCAGCAACCGGTGGGCTTCCATTGCTGCAGTTCCCTATTGCTGAAGTCGCCACTTGCTCGAAGGAAGCAAAGCTGCACCCTTCAAGTGTGCTGCATCGGCGCACACCACAACCGCCCAGGCCTTGGTCTGATGTTTAAAAAGTGTTTTGATCGATAATTATGACTGCTTATAGTATGTACTATATGACGAGTTTCGCAATATGTATAAAGGTCCTTGTATGTCCTTGTACTGAGTCATGTAAGAAGTGGCCATCAGATCAAGCGTTTGTCTCCGCAAAAGTTTCGTGATTCAGTCCGCGAATGAGTTGTTTGTTCGTGGCGAAAGTGACGCAAAAAAAAACATCGTAAGGGGGGCATTCAAAGGTGGATTTCTTTGCGAGGCATTTTCCATGCGGACAGACTTTGGCGGTGACTTTTGGGCTCGGTAACTGGACTGCCCTCATGCAGGCGTGGCAATTTCTCGATATGCACGGTTGCCAAAGCTATCACAAAATGCCGAGGTGTCGTAAAACTCGTTCCATGCGATAGTTATGCGCGAAAGATTCGCGAAAGAAGTCTGTGTCGCCAAGAATGGCCGTTTGCGGGGGCAAGGAGTTTTGATCAACGCGAGTAAATCAATAAATATATAAATACTGTATAATATAGAATTCTATGCATGCCAAACTCATGTGTCACGTCATCCAACAAATGTCAGTGTGCACACCCACCAAATTGACATTCAGAAAGAAGTTCACTTACCATCCAAACATCCGATTGGCATGCGCCATCGATCGAATTGAGATCCGATTCGGCGCATTTTTTGTGGGTTTTGTGAGGCCTTGCGTCATCTACTCCGACTTGGTGATCACCAGCAAGAGCTACTTGCGGATAGTTACGGAGGTGGGACCCCCAGACCATGCTCCAGGAATAATCCCTGGAGTCCTGGAGTACACGAGGGGGTCAATGAACAGCAAGTCTGGAGCGCGTTTGCTGTGTTTGCTCGTTTCTTAGACCTATGTCTCATGCAGATAAACCCCAAGTCTTCCACATTGCTTCTACAAAAAACACCCGGGTGATTGGAGGTGTTGGGTACGTCCCAACCAACAAATTGAATTCTTGACATAGTGTTGGGTAGACACCTTTAGTACTATGGCAGATATGACTCACATGCCTTGGTTTGGAGGAGAAGTACACCATGGTGACATCAATGGAGTGAGAAAGAGTTCTGACACCAGTCCTTCTGAAAACACCCACTGTCCACTTTCCCATTTCTTGAAAGCAAGGCATCCAAACAATTTGGGGACTCAGTTTGACTGGAACTCTTTCATGTTTTTGGACCAAAAGACTTCCAACAAAAGGAAACAAGGGATGTCAAACAGTTGGAGAATGTCCTGACTTCCTGTAGGGAACTCTTTCCATGTTTTTGGATGACTTCCTGTTCCAGTTGGACATCGCGGAAGAGGATCGCTCCGGTCGCGTGAGGTGGATCCCGCCTGGCTGCCGGAACTCTGCCCGCGCTACTTCCGCCCGGATACCTCGAGACGGGCGGGTTTCGGGTTGGGCCCGGGAAGCAAAGGAGCGAAGGGCCAAGTGCATGTCTTTTGCGGGTAGATCATTGTCAAAAGCCAGGAGAACCATTTGCGCCATTTTGGGGGTCCAAAAAAGAGAGACGCGCCAAACGGGCGAAAGTTGAGCTTCCTTTGGAGCAGATTCATCCAGATATACCCTTAGGCCCTATCAGCCCAAAGGAATGCACATGAGGCCGGCGAAGCTGGGTGTTGGAACAACGGAGACTGAAAACAGTGGACATGAGTCTAGGGCCAACGCACCACCCCAGTGCCGAGTGCTTAGTTGGGGAAGGGGAAGGGGGCCCACACTCATGAAAACTATGAAAGGGCTTACCCAAGTTTCCCATTGGGAAAACAAGCTGAACAATGTCCACAGCTTGTGATCGCTTTGCTCAATCAAGGGCCAGTGGAAGCTACGGAACGCGAATCTATTTCCGACCGACACACCACGTTACGCTTGTCGTTGCCGAGCTGATTGAGGCTCACAGTGAGCGGGACATGCGTGAAAGCAGGAAGGTTGCAGCTGAAGGGTTCACATTTGCATCGGAAAAGAAGAGCGGATCTCCTCTATCACGGTGTGCCGTGTTTATTCTTGTCTTTGTGGTTGCTACATTATAATCCTTGCTTGTTTGTTGGTGTGTGCTATCCATGCATTCGAGCGTTGCGCAGTTTGTTTGCTCGGGCGTGGGGAGCTGCCTGGCCTCCAGTTGAGCCAGACCGATCCCTACTTCAACCGCCCAATACGGATATGAGGACAACCCCTGCCTATGAGTTTCGGTGATTTGGTGGTTTGGATTGGGGATTTGGAGCCTCTGGTTCTTGTAAAGGGATGGGAAGCACCCCCTCAATCTCCAAACCAATTAGGGAGAAGCTGAGTTTATGTTGGAGGAGTGCTCCTGTATACATATATAACACATGCCCTAGTACAGGGGTAGGTACTAACCCGCTTGGCACAACACAGTCCGTGTTTCGAATTGCCAAGGAAGGACCGCGCATGGGGCACTAGCACAGCTCAAGCAGCGTTGTTAATTTTGGGTCGTTTGAAGTGAACAGTTTGAGAGGTTCTGAAGATTGCGCTTGGGCCGGGGGTGTGTCCTTTTTAAACCACAATGTTAGAGGTTAATTTTTGGGATCTCTCTTTCAGTAATTTGGGATCGGATGAGATGCATCCGCGTGACTTTGGCTTTGCAGCTTTGATTTAGGCTCCATAAGATCCACTGAGCCAAACGACTCGTTTGGTACCAGACACTGTTGGACCATTGGATGGAGCGAGCACGACCAGGCCATCGCAAGCGTTCCATCAGAAGAAGGATCGCCTTTCCTTGAAAACCACCAAAAAAAAGAGTACCCTCAAAGCAAGACCCGCCCGTGGCGTGTGTGAGGTGCTTTTGGATCCAGTATTTTTGCGAGGCAATAAAGCCGAGCCAAAGCAACCCACTCAGGTGATCCGTTGTGGCCATCATCCACTTGTCCCAAGGCCCACCTCGCGACCCAAACAAAACCACGCCAGGGTTAAACGAGCTCGCCTCATGGCTGAGACCCATGAGTTCCCCAATTTTGGGTTTTCACCCCGGTCGAGTGCGTCGACGTCCCCATGCCATGTGGCTCTCGCTGGCGTTTGCCCTGGCTCTGCTCGCGCAACCTGGCGACACCCGAAGCTGCCGTGCAGCCGACTGGCGCTTCGCCTTCGGCAAATGCCACGAGGCGCCTGCAGTCTGCCGCCTGCCGCCGGCCGCCTGCCCCGAGAATCGAAAGAGACTTGTCCGTTGCAGCATGCACCGAAAACCTACGAATATTCGTGCGTGATCCCGGATTGCTGATTGGTGAATTAATAGTCGCCCAGATCAGATGTGTCATTGCTGTTCATTGTGTCTCTCTCTTTCTCGGTCTCTTTCTCTGTCTCTTTCCCTTTTTCTTTCCCTTTCTCTTTGGCTGTCCCTTTCTTTATCTTTCTCTTTTTCTGTAGTTTTCCCTTTCGCTTTCTCTTTCTCTTGTCCTGTCTTTGTCTCTTTGTCTTTTTATTTGTCCTTTTTTTTTGTCTCGTTATCCTTCCCTTTCCGATTCTCTTCCGCTTTCCATTTCTCTTTTATTGTTTCTTCTTTTGTGATATGTCCCTTTCTTATCCTTTATTATCTTTCACTTCCATTTGTTTTGTCCTTTCCCTTTCCCTTTTTGTTTGCATGTATCTTCTTATTTATCCTTCTCTTCCATGTCTCATTTCTCTTTGTCTTGATCTATCTCTTCATCCTTGGCTTGTTTCTATTTCCCTTTCTCTTTCTCTTTTGCTGTCTCTGTCTCTGTCTCTGTCTCTGTCTCTGTCTCTGTCTCTTTCTTTCACATGTTTTTTTTTTTTCTCTCTCTCTCTCTCTCTCTTTCTCTTGCTCTCTACCTGTCCAGTGTGCTTTCTTTTTTCTGGACGAACTCGCCGAAATCGCGCCGGAGTGCTTCGCCCTGCGCGCCGGTCTGAACAGGAGAAGCGGAACGTGTATCCCTACGTTCGCTTCTGCGACCCCGCGGGCGTCCAGCCGCGGCCGCTCCTGAATGTCTCCTGTCGGACCAGTTGTCTGGCCGGTGAGCATCTAGGCCGGGCACGCTGAACATCTGGCTGGGAAAAATTTGCAACGTGATAAAGTCACATTGCAATGGGCCCACGCTAGACGCCAGCACCACCTGGGTGTCTGAGAGGAAGGTGTCTGGGAGACTTTGTTGATGTTTGAAAAGGCAGCGTGGCCTTACCACCTTGTCGCCTGTTTCCGCTTGTTTGGTTCAGTCCAGTCCATGTTTGGTGGGGCCAAAGCCCAAGGCTTTGTGCTGGCCTAGAGGGCCGGGAAGTGGGAGGTAGATGCGCCAGGCGTGCAGCTGGAGGAGGCGCCGGAGATGAAGTGCTTGAAGTGCCCAGCTGGCAAGTTCTCCCTGGGCGGAGGCGGGAAGGGGTTGGCAAGAACGAGCCTGGCCAAAGCTCAAGGGTAGAAGGGGGTCCTTTGGTTTCCTTGGTTTTTTGTTGGGTGTTGTTTGGTTTCCTTGGGCTTTGTTTGGTGTGCTTTGGCTTGCTTTGGTTTCCGTTTCGGCCATGTTTGCTCTATGGGGAGTTCGGACACGCGGAGCGGGCGTATGCTTACGGTGAGCAAGTTGGGATGTTGACTCAGGTCATATGTCTCGGGTGCCGCTGAAGTATCAGCAATTTAGGTGCCCCTCGTAGGGTTCAAAAGGGAACCCCAAATGAAGCCCAACATCTTGGAGAAGCTCTAGGTATGGGTTCCAACTATTCGGAGGAACAAAACATGAGTCACAATCAACACCCGGGTAATTGGAGGGGAAGGGACAATCCCGGTCATACAGCGCGGAAGTCCGCCTGTTCAATCCTTGAAGCATGATTCTGGGTTCACCATTTTGATAATGACCGGGTTTTGATAGTGGATCAGTTGTTAGATTGTCCAAAACCAGGTTCATCCATGTTGTTCAGAACACAAAGAACACTACTTGAAACAGCCAAGCGTTTTAAGGCCGGGTTTTGAGTATGGCTCGGCTTCCGTTCGGTGAGATCCTTGAAAACCCGAGGGCTGCTGATCTCCGGCGTGGCCGGGGACTGGCACAGCCGCTGGCCCGCCGCTCGCCGCAGAAAGAAAACCCCACGGGCGCCTTCTTGGGATCGCGGCAGGGCGAAGGTGAAATGGAATGAACCCCAGTTCAGTGGCCTTGGTCCGTTCAAAGGAGACCACAGTTGGATGGTTCATGAGGGTCATGTCTCATCGAGCAGCAAGTTTTGAGTGGCACGGAAGATGTGGAATTCAAAGTTACGTCCACTTCAAAGTGCAGACGGGTGTCACGTGTAAGAGGGGATCCTTCACTTCGGGTAGTAATCCAGGTTGACAAAATGCGGAGCCCTTTGGGTTGGGGGCGGGCGTACCCCCCCATTTTGATCCATCCAGTTGATTTTTGCGGGGTTGAGGCGATTGGAGTTTGTGCCCCTTTTCGGCGTGTGTTTCAACTTGACTCAGGGCTCTGGTCAAAAGGGGGTCATTCCCTTGGCTGCGCTTAGAACAAACGGGTTGGTCATCTTAATCATGTGTTAAAGGGAAACCGAAAGGAAGCCACCCGTCTGACTGGTTCCAATTTGGGCTATTCCTGCAGCAGGGGTTCTCAAAAGACATGGTCATCTCCAGGTTGGTTTGGTTTCTGCTTCTTGGGGGTTGTATCAGCAACTGCACACCTTTTGTCGGGTTCCATATCTCATTGGGGAACGAAGCCATTTGGGTCTCAATATTGGAAGTCCAATTTGACCATCGGGCGCCTTTTGCTGAACTGCTAGTGGGGAGACAGATGTGAAAGTTAGCTTGAGAGTTGAACAAGGCGCGATCAACCCAGGCGCCCGACTGAGATTTGGACCTGATTTAGGCAAATGTCTATGGCGACTGTTTTGCGGGGGGGAGCGAGTGGGGTTGTGCCCTTTGAAAAAGCATGGGATTAGATGCCGGTGGTTTTCCAAGTCGGCCTTGAATTGGAGGTTCAAGGACGTTCCAACCATCAATCGAGATTTTGGGATCGTGCATCCTGTCGTGCTAAATCCCAACATGGCAATTTCTCGCCTCGCGCTTGTAAGCGGGCCCAAATGGCTTGCCCAAGCGCAAGAAAGGCTTGAACGAGTAGAATTGATTTGCCGGAAGTGTTGCAAACGATTTGTGATCTCATGGACAACCCTAGTATGAATTTTAGGCAAGCCCGCTTTGGTGTCTATAGGAACCGCGCTGAAGCATAACTTGGTGGGTTGGGAACCATGTGTGTGCGTGTGTGTCAAGCGCAAGGACCCATGTTGAAATGGCTCTAAAGTAATTCGCGGTCCGGGGGTTTGGGTGGGTGCGTGTGTGTGTGTGTGGTGTGTGTGTGTGTGGTGTGTGTGTGTGTGTCTGTGTGTCTGTGTGTCTGTGTGTCTGTGTCTCTGTGTCTCTGGGTCTCTGTGTCTCTGTGTCTCTGTGTCTCTGTGTCTCTGTGTGTCTCTCTGTGTCTCTGTGTGTCTCTGTGTCTCTGTGTGTCTCTGTGTCTCTGTGTCTCTGTGTGTCTCTGTGTCTCTGTGTCTCTTTGTCTCTGTGTCTCTCTGTGTCTCTCTGTGTCTCTCTGTGTCTCTCTGTGTCTCTGTGTGTCTCTGTGTCTCTGTGTCTCTGTGTCTCTGTGTCTCTGTGTCTCTGTGTCTCTGTGTCTCTGTGTCTCTGTGTGTCTGTGTCTCTGTGTGTCTGTGTGTCTGTGTGTCTGTGTGTCTGTGTGTCTGTGTGTCTTTGTGTCTCTTTGTGTCTCTCTGTGTCTCTGTGTGTCTCTGTGTGTCTCTGTGTGTCTCTGTGTGTCTCTGTGTGTCTCTGTATGTCTCTGTGTGTCTCTCTGTGTCTCTCTGTGTCTCTCTGTGTCTCTCTGTGTCTCTCTGTGTCTCTCTGTGTCTCTCTGTGTCTCTCTGTGTCTCTCTGTGTCTCTCTGTGTCTCTCTGTGTCTCTCTGTGTCTCTCTGTGTCTCTCTGTGTCTCTCTGTGTCTCTCTCTCTGTGTCTCTCTGTGTCTCTCT